CCAATATGAAAGCCAAAACATATATCAGGATGTTGTTGATGAGGGTACTGGAACAGGCAAGCTTGAGGATCTGAGGAAGGTCACAGAAGAACTGAGGGATTTTCAGGTTCGTACAGAACAACAGATTGAAAACCATCAGACTGTTGATTAGGGCAGCCACGACACTAATGAACAAAGAAAGTAGAATCAGCAGGCCACAGAAGTAGGGGTTCATGATGACTGTGTACATCAGTGGGTGACAAATGGCCACATAGCGGTCATAAGCCATTGCTGCTAGAAGAAAATTTTCAAAATAACCAAAAACCACAACAAAGAATATCTGGTTGAGACAGCCTGTGTAAGTGATGCTCTGATTCTGTGTCTGGATGTTCACCAGCATCTTTGGGATGGTGGTTGTGCTCAAACAGATATCAGTAAAAGATAGATTGGAGAGAAAGAAGTACATAGGGGTGTGCAGATATGAGTCACAGCTGACAACCAGGATAATGAGCAAATTCCCAAGGACAGTGACCAGGTACATGATCAGGAACAGGCTAAAGATGAGAGACTGCAGTTCTGGATCCTCTGTCAATCCCAGAAGAATCCATTTTGAAGTATCTGTTTGGTTTCCAAGCTCTATATTGATGAACCTGATGGACAGATGAGGCAACAAGATAATCAAATGTATGGTCCCAGTACCACCAGCATGAGCATCACCACAGGAGATAGACATTATCTTCAGGAAGGAAGAAGAGAAGTGGAGTTGATGATAAAATAACTACCTTCTTTATTAATATTATTTGTTTGTTTTTAAAAAGAGAAGAAAAAGCCCTAAAGCTTATTATGCAGTGTCAACCAGCATTTATTCTGGAAGAGAAGAGGATATAGGCATTTAATTTTTATTATAACATTTGTACTTTTATGCTTATTTAAAATATTTAGTAATTTTTGTGTATAGAAATAGATAGACTTAGCAGATCACCTGTTGAAACAATCTGGGACTCCAGTTTCTTCCCCAGAGATCAGAGCAAGGCAGCAGAGATAACTCAGGTATATACTAAGAATCAAGAAGATATGATGAATCTGGAAAATCTCATTTTACCACCACGACCAGAAAATGCAAGTAAATTTCAGAGAATTTTGTCACAGTGATCATGTTTGACAAGTGTAAGACCAATTAAATTTCTGATTTTAAAGATAGAGCAAGAAACTAGCTAAGTGAGAATTTTTACAAAGATATAAGTCAATTGATTGATGAAACCCCCCCAACATATTCTAATAGGAGTATTGGCTCAATCATGTCCTGCATGTACTCTTTTATTGTGCACCTGTCTCCTGTATGTACCTGTAGTAAAATCTGGCATTCTTTCCAAGCATTAAATATAGGGCTTAGTTACCTGGCTGACATCGCTGAGATATGATGGCTGACATCTGCTCTGGATGTAAAAGACAAAAGTTCTATCCTCTGGAAAGACAGAGTGTCTGTGTAAATCACTAGGTTTCTGTGCAAAGCGGGCCATCTCTGGGGAAAAAGGTCATGTGCTCTACCTGCTCACAGGGTAAGGGCTCTTAAGAGATGTCACAGGCAGATTATTTGCAGTCTATTTTTCCCTGAAGGCTCAATATCCAAAGCTCCTCATTATCTCAACACCTTTTATCATTGTGATCCCAGTACAGCCAAAATGTTTGATTCCCTCGTCCTGAGACCATCTGCCACTCTCCACCTATATCTGCTCACTTCTATGTCACATATCTAGCACATATGTGACCACTATCTTTTCTACTCATATCCTAGTATGTTTCTATTTGTTGTTGTTATTAAGTGTCATTAAGTCGGTTCCGACTCATAGCGACTCTCTAGAGGGTTTCCAAAGAGCGACTGGTGAGCTTGAATCACCGACCTTGTGGTTCAAACTGACTGTGCAGTCTAGCACTTTAAACAATAGCGCCACATTTAGTTATGTCTTAATTTTATAGTGCTACTATAACAAAATATTGAAAGTGCCATAGGTTGCTAAAAGAACCAATAGATCCATTCTCCTTGGAGACCAAGATGGCCAAACTTCATGTCTCATACTTTGGAAATATTATCAGAATGGGCGAGTCATTGGAGAAGGACATCATGTTTGGTAAGGTGGAGGGTCAGGGAAAAAGAGGAAGACCCCCAACAAGATGGACTCAAGTGTGGTAACAGTAGTTAAGTTGGCCCAGGATCGGGTAGTGTTTTGTTCTGCTGTACATAATGTCTCTATGGGTTGGTACCAACTCGATGGCATCTAACAACAACTATACCAAAAATGCCACAAATAGATGACTTTAATAAACAGAAATTTATCCTCTCACAATTTAGAAAGTTAGAAGTACCAATTTAGTGTACCTGCTCTGGAGAAAAGTCCTTGCCTCCTTTCAGTATCTGTATGTTCAGCATTTATTTGAGACCTCCATGTGTTTCAGCATTTATTATTTCCTGGATGTAGGTATTTCACAATTTAGAACCCAAGGTCCAAAGGATGTACACCTCTCCTGACCTCTATTTCTTTTTGGTAGTAGGTCCTATTTCTCTGTTTATGTCTTTCTTTGTTTATTTTAGGCCATAATTCTCGGAAATACCCTTATACTTGACCATGGTTATAATAGGATTGAGGATATTTCAGCCCATCCTTAATCCTCTTTTATGTTTTTACCATGAGGGATCATCACAAAACTGACACACTGTATCATTATGTAATGGGCACAAATATGAATCTCTTCTAGTTAGTTGGCAAGGCAGATGTTTTTCAAGTTTGTGACACATATGAGTGAGTACTTCAGGCACTGCATCAGTGTATTGAGACATTTCAATTTGTATTCCATCATTTTCTGGGGACTTTGTTTTCAATAGTGCTTTTAGCACAGATTGGACATCTTCCATTAACAACATCAATGTTTATTACATTAGTTATATTGAATGTAGTGTGTCAGTCATTACTGCCTTTATACTGAATAAAATCCATATTTGTGTTCCCAACGGAATTTGGAAATCATTGAATAATATCATTAATATCACATTTAAATAAAATGTTCTAAGAATAATTCAAAAACATCTGCAGCAGTACACTGACCGGGAGTTCTCAGAAGTTCAGCAGGATTCAGATGGGTATATGGTATGAAGCGGCAGCGAGATCTTGGAGTGGCAAGAATCGGAGTCCTGGTGTGGTGCTGGTGATGCACCAGACTCCATGGCTGTATAACTGCAAGTAGCAGAGGGCCTCATCTCTCTTACGCGGAAGGCCTGGTGGATTTGAGCTGCTGACTGTGGGGTTCACAGCCAGATTTTTAACCAGTACACTGCCTCATTAGATGGAGGATCAGGTAGACATGTAGTAAGGAGCTCGGTCAACAACAACACGGAACACCGGGTCAAGAGGACTCATGAGTTGGTGTTGGAACTCTGTAACAAATATAAAGGTATGTTTGGAGTTTTGAAGGGTTTATAGCTGGGGAATTTGCAGGAGAATCCAGAAATTCATTATTTTCGGGATCAAGACACTCAGCTGTTCCAGGAGACGCCATCTTGGCAAAGCTTATCTTGATTATACCAGGATTGATAGGATTAGGAGAGAACATCTTGACTGTATCTTGATTATATCAGAATTGTATCAAGATTGACATCAAAATTTAAAGAGGCAGTATAGACATAAAACCAAACAGCCACCACTCATCTGTCTGTCATGTTGTGGTGGTTTGAGTTGCTGTGATTCTGAGGGCTATGACACCGGTGTTTTAAATAACCAGCAGGGTCACCCATGGTGGACAAGTTTCAGATGAGCTACAAAACAAAGACAGACTAGGAAGAAACAGTGACAAACTACTTCCGAATCGCTAGTCACAGAAAACTCTATGAATAGCAGAGAAACATTGTCAGATACAGGACTGGAAGGTGGGAAGGCACTCAGAATGCAACTGGGAAAAAAAAAAATGCCTCCTCAAAGTAGGGTTGACCATAATGACATGAATAGAGTTAAGCTCCTGGAGAAAAGCGCACGGAACCTGCATTTGCTGATGGGTAACAACTTAAAATGAAGAGAAACAACTGTAAATATCCATTGAAAATTGGAACATGGATTGTACAAAGTATGAATTTGGGAAAATTGGACGCATAAACATCAATATCTTAGGCATTAGTGAACTAAAATGGACTGGTATTGGCCATTTTGAATCTGATATCCACATGGTTCACTATGCAGGGAATGACAAATTGAAAAGGAATGGTGTTGCATTCATCATGAAAAAGAACATATCCAGATCAGTCATGAGGTACAATGCTATAAGTGATGGGATAATATCCATGCGCCTACAGGGAAGCCCAGTTAATACCACTATTATTCAAAT